TGTATGGACCATTGTCTTTAATTCTTTGCACTCTACAGGGTTCATTATGGCAATAAAACTAGATACGACAAAGAGAACTTTAGAGACTACTAAAACTTACAATTGGGAAGTTGTAATATTTTTTAATCAACAAAAGAGTTGATAACAGTAAACACTTAAAACTATATAGCATTGATTGAATTATTTAATCGTCCAAGCAGTTTGTCGACAGAAAGAACTTGAAAAACTATCCACAGATCAAATGACTATAAATGCAATGGTCAATATCTAAACGAACGTTATATAAATTTAATGTTAAGAAGATTAAAGAGAAGTATAAATATTAGTGTATTGCTCTAGAAGTTAATGTCAGAAAACATTACTTATGAAATGACTTAAATGTTACATATATACTTTATCCCACTTCTAGAATCCAACAGCACGAAAGCAACGCGTACGCGTAATTTTCAGCAGAGGTGGACAAATTTATTATCTAGGTAGCGAGTTTCAAATAACGAATAAAAGATAACAACCTGGTTATTCAGTTTTCATTCATGAGAACCTCTATCAAGAAATGAAACAATGTTTGTTTGTCACTCTAGAATTATACCGTACGCACACCGATGATGTCGCGAAATTTTAATCATGACTATAGAAGTGTAAATCAACATTCAGGCACTGAGCTTTTGTTTACTTTTCTAATATGCGCTGTTTGTTATAAAATACCATAGAAAGAAAGGATTTGCAGCATACATTTATAAACACTAGAATAACCAAGCGTTTAACACGATCAACCCTTGCCTTATAATCAGGCTGGAGACTCATGATGACGATTTTAAACAAAATTTAAACAAGATGAATATTACTAAATGCTTGTGAATTCGAATTAAATAATATTTTTCTGTTATCAGTTATTATACTTTAGAGCAAACATAGACATAGAATATACCTAGAATTTCTTTCTTTTTCTTAATAAAGTATCGATCATAGTTAAGAAATAAATCGTAGGGTAGGGGGTTAATATGTAATCTTTATAAAAATTGTAACGATACATTTTTTTCGGTTCGTAAAAGAAAATCTTCGTAGAAGAATAGTAGTAGAAATTGGCCAATTTTAGATCCAACGATCAACGAAAGTTTTCTGCAGGACACTATCCTACATGGTTTAAGACATCCGAAATGAATAATTAATGGATAATTATTTACCTGAGTGATGATGGGAAAATGATAAAAAATAAGCGTAAATTTTGCAATGTTATCCTTTCAATTAGTAAAACTCATCGATCGAAGTTATTTTCTTCGAACGATGATATATCGGTGAAAGAATGATTCTGGGCGTTGAGATGAATGAAACTGAAAGAGCCTTAATTGAATCAGAAGTTGATTCAATTAAACAAAATCAATAATTTGATTTTTACTTCGTGAATATACGACTGGAATTTAAAATAATAATTTAAGTTTTTCAATTTCTCGGAAGTAGAAGGAATGACGTAGCGTGTATATTTATTTCGGCCTCGTCAGCCTAGAAATAGAACATTGGCTTACAATTTTCCATAATTCCATACTTCGTTTTCTGCATTCACACCTCCTACCCGCTAATAGCTAACTAGCTTATCCTAATTATCCTACTATGACAACATCCTTAACACTACATAAGACACTCGAAAATATGGAACACTTATCTTAGATTTCTAAGCCTTCCTTTCATTTTATTCTGTAGTTTCTTTAACCATTTCATTGTCTCCTAGGGGAAATAACGTGCATTGAAAATCCGAAAAAACTGATATCCCTTTGTAAAGAATAAAAATGAAGCAACGATTAGTTTCGTTTAGCATAACGTACTATCATTGTTGCAATAAACAATTCACCGATGTATCTTTGCCAGACAAGTGTATCGATATCGAAAATAAAATGCCATCGGCTGCCTCTGTCGTTCCAACGTATTGCAGTGCTAATTGATTTCCCATCGTTGTATTCCAATAAACGACATAACTTTTTGTTAACGCGTCGCATTCGTCGTACGAAAAACAATCGGTTTCATGTTTACGTAGAACCGACGTGTATAACTGACAGAAAGGGTTATAAAGACTTTCACGAAACGATTGTTCCTTGACAATGATTTATTCGAATCCAAACAACGCACGGGAAATATTTACCCCGCGCCAGTAAAATACACCGTTCCGATATAATTGACGAAAGAATGAACCCTTTTCAGTTGGGAAGCGAGCTTCAGTCGCCATTTGTTTCAATGCAAGAAAATTATAAAATTAGATATTCGATGTCAAGTATTATATAATGCATTAACATACGAAATGTTGAAATGGAACGATTCTGGTCTTTAATTTATATACGATTTTTCTGTATATTAGTTTTGGAAAACATCAGTGATGTTTCATTAGAAATGAAATATTTATGCAATATATATAATTTAAGTTGTCTACCATGCCATTTTGAAATTTTCATGATAATGTATAAAATAATGTATAAAATTCTCATGTATGAAGTCTCTTGTAACCATAATTAGTCAAATTCTTGAAATAATTATTAAAAAAACAACTTAAAGTTGTTGTTGTCACGATATACTGAAATTCAGTTTCTAATAATCAGACAAATAATAGTAAGTAATACAATTGAGTAATCAAATTTTGAAAGGTGTAAATACAGTATTATAAAATGTAAAATACGGATAAAATTCCGTATGAAGTTCACAATTGGCATTGCAATTAACCGACGACCTTGATAGGTGACGTGTCGCACGGTTACTGCAACGAGGAAAAATTTGAATTTAAGACAAGTTGCATGTATAGGCGTGTTAGTTTGTTAAAGCAAAAATTAAATGAATTTAGATTTTATTTAAAATTACAGTCGATTTACAGCGATAAGTATAGGTAATCTTCGTGTAACAAGACAAAATGGCCGTATTATAAGAATTTGTGTTACTATATAAAACTAACAACTACTGCAAACAACATCGTTAAGTTCGCGCTATCTTTTGCCCTCTTCATAATTACTGAACACAATTAAACCTTAAATGAATGATTTTTTTAAAAATATTAAAATACTTAAAAATAATCTGTTTACTTATCGTACAGCTATAAATCAGTAGCTCTATAATCGATTTCATTACATAGAATTCTTCTATTTGTAAAAGGATTTTTTTGACAAGTCACTACAATATGAATATAAGGTGTGCACAAATAATAAACGAAGTATAGTAAACACTTCTAAAGCAGTTATTATTATTATTTAAACATAACAAAGTTTCGATAATAATAGAAGAAATAATATGATATGCTATCAAATGACATTACATTTAGAGAACACGAGATTTTCTCGTCAACCCGGTAATATGACAACTTATTCATTCTACATGTAATCTGTCACAGCATCGTGCACAGCTGAATTATTCTGCTGGAACATATGTTTTCTGCCAGTAACTTTGCAAGCATAAGTTTCTATCTGTTCTTTAATTAAATTTAATATGATCTTCAGATAATTTTATTTTAGTTTTGCCTTTGAATAGAATGCTTAAAACTCTTTCTTACTTTTGTAAGTCGTGATACTGCTACAATGGATTTTCATAGAATGCCGGGAGTGTGCTCGCGGTATAGGATACCGCATTGTAAAAATTGTTTTTAATACATAAACAATAACTAAACTCATTTATGTAATATAAATACATTAATGGGTTCAACTTAACTTTTACGAATCAAGTTTTAAGTTTCAGATTTAGGAATTCATTGGTTTATAAGTTATATTACCTATTACCTTGAAATATGTAAATATATAAAATATATCCTATATTACCTTGAAATATATTGTCAAGGTTATCATTTTAAAGAATTTTTTAAAAACCTCCGAGAAAACCCGTGTTTCTTTTTTAATCTTCGACATACATAATCGCAATAAATTTCTACTTACTATGAAAATAATATGCATTTAATCTGACATAATTACAGACAGTAAACAGAAATTTAATTGGCATTTTCAGATTTTACAGAATAATCGTGATTATTTTCGCAAGAACATTCTACGGAGATATTGTCCTATTTAACTCTTGTTTATTTATAATACCATATAGGTTCGCATTTTTTTTAAGTCTCTTTCATTTGTGTTCAGTTATTATCTATACATTAATTCAATTATCTCAATAGCTAATATATTTCGAGTGAAAACTTAAAATTGCTACAAAATTCGTAATTCTTAGAAATTCCGTTATCTCTGTGTTAAGTTTGACATTATTCTTTAATCCTTCAAAGATGACGTTCATATAGTGTACCAAGCTACTAATCATTATGTATAGCCAAGTTGAATTTTTAAATTAAGGTACAGTGCATATTTTGAATAAAAATGGTATCATAATAATATTTCAGTATGCTACATAATAATGTTCTTATCTTATATTGTTTCTAATATGAAACTATAAGCGAAATTTTATTTCGACATGTCGATTGCGTGTAAAGACGTACGAGATACTTCTGTACATAGTACGTCCTTCGGGTCGGAGAGGTTAATGCGTTTAAGTAACTCCATTCATGCGTATTTTCAACCATAAATGGTGTTTATTTACAAATCATGTTCCCTCGGCCTTACAATGAGTAACCAGGGGTGAATACAATATAACGCTTCTGTGGTGAGGGTGAATGAAATACACATAAATCGGAGTAACAAAAGAGAAATATAAAAGAAACAAATAGATAATGGAATAAATACATAAAATAACATAAGAAGAAATACAGTATAAGATATGAGAAAGATTAATATAGAGAAAAACAAAGATAAAAATGAAACGCAAGTACAGTGATTATGTTACACATAATAAATGGATAAATAAACAGACGTAGGAAAAAAAAAGAAATGAAACATAAGAAATAATTATAAAGAGAAAGGTAGAAAGAAAAGAAAATAAAATAATTTAGAGAAAAATAAAAATAAAAATGAACATATGTACAACGATAATTAAATTATAAATGCTAAATCAGATGCAAATAGCTAGATTTTCCGTTGGTCAATAAAAGAAACGCGTATCAAGAAATAAAAATCCATATTTAAATATTTTGTCGAAAATCTAATTCACATTTTTCGATTTACTTTTTTAATACTCAGTTGTACTGGGTTCTACTCAGCCATAATAATTGTTTCTTTTTAATAACCTTCTAATACTTCATTATTCAACGCTTACATCTTGCATTTAATGCTTCAGCTGGTCTTGATTTTATTTGACTCGATACATAATAACGATAATCGTTCAACAATGTATTGCATTCCACTTTTACATTCTTCGATAAAGTACCAAATTCTGTTCTCCAATACTATTAAACATAAGAAATCAAATATTTCATAAATTATTGTAAATATAATTCCTATTACGCAACTGTTATATATTAATCCATTTCGCCCCAAGGTTCCCATTTGGAACACTGTACTTTTCCACAAATAAATGACAAATTTTGTACAATAATAAAATCTTGCTTGGTAATACTATTTTTACATACTGCACACTACTTATTATTCCTGTTATCACGAACATCCCGATATCAATGTTTATTTCGCAATAAAAGGAAGTGGCTGTGTCACGTTTTAATCAATACGTTAAATTTTGGTTTATGTAAAAATTTGGTCCTTAATGAGTTAAAATATCTATATACGTAATACAAACCTAATCCATTATTCTCTGTATTTGTTACGCTTAACATTCGGTTGTCCTACTAAAATCGTTTCCATGTGTTTCTGTTTCCATCTGTTGGTTTAAATTTTGTTAATCTTCAATCATTAAATTCCTGTCCAATAGGTTTGATCGCAGATTATCGGGCACGCGAGTCTTTTTTTATAGCTGGTGTTATAGGGCTCGATTTTTTTTTATTATCGGTAAGTTTATTCTAAGTTTGAATGATCGTGTTACGATCCATTGGTATATTACGAGATCATTTTTGAAAAATGATAAATATTCAGTTCATTATAACTGTTTCACTTATCAAGTATAAATATATACATATACGTCACATTACCATTACTAATGCAATTAAATTAACTTAACTATAGTTAATCCTTTCTCCTATATGACTCGACATCAGATTTACTCAAACGTGTACTTCTCTGTCGAGACATTTTAAAATTGTATTATATTGTTATAATATTTTCAACAGTATTAGTAAGGAAAATTGTTTAGACCGTTTCAAATTAACTAACTACCTATCGAAATACGTTTTAAGTAAAACGCTTAAAATAATACAAAATTATCGAGAAGTAAATATAAAAGAAACTTGGCGTGCGAGGGATTAATTGTTGCGAATTTTACGAGAATTGTTTAATTAACCTCTTGCGCTGGACATTAATTCAAAGATTTAAGTCTTACGCGAAGAATTTTGTTTTCAAAATAAATTTCAAAACAATCCAGTATGGATTCATCAAGACGATCGATGTGTATAAGACATCATTGGCAATTTTGGAACGAAAACATCTCGACGCGCCTGGTACGTATTTTCAGCGTAAGAAGTTAAATGGTTCTATTTAAATAAGTAGTTCTCATAAAAATTTAAGAACCATTGTTGTATAGGGTACTTCCGGGTGAGATGGTCCGATCTCGTATAGATTGTCAAATATCTATATTTTCCATTGTTTTTAGTGATATACTGAATCCTGCACGGTAACTTACTTAACTATTCTTCTTATATGTTTGTGCCTTCATACATATACGTATTTCTGTTAGGTATTAATGATATTTCTTATGTAACTGTTCCTTCAAAAAAAGTGGGACATCTCTCCCCGACTCACCCTAATATCCGTAGAAAAACTTGACCAGACTCTTTTGCATCTCATCGTAATGCCCAGCAATATATGTACCGTAAGACCGTTCCAATTTCTTGTGTTTCTGATGAACAAATCGGAATCCGATCTGGCGAACGACACAGCGGTGTATCGTTACGCAGAACCGGTGTGAAAGCGCCCTTATGCAACAACTTCCTTTTTCGTTGCACTGGTGTAGTGGCGGAGGAGGCAAGCGAGTGTAGGAGTATGCGTGGATAAGGGCGGAGCACGGACAGATAGTGACTTGGCAACATAAAGAATACATAATGTAAAACATCGTGAAAGGAGGTTTCATTGGCTGTTCTCGAAGGTTCGTGGTGTACGCCTACCCATCCGGTCACTCCACCTCTTCGACGCGCAATTGGCAGACAATAATGAACCTGGCGCGAATGCGAACCCTTTTCTTCAACCGGAACCGGTCGACGCCGCTTTTTCTTCTCCTTAGTTTTATTGGCGGTCAATCATGGAAATTATTAGTTATTATGATCTTTACTAGGACATTTAGTAGTAACATACTGCACTTTATCTATTTTTAATGTTATCTTTATCATTTTTGTCCTAGATGTTTTTCAAGATTGTTCTTATCCTTAAGTTTTCATGTTGCTAATATTCGGAATTTTTGCAAAACTCTTTCAATAGAATGCTCTGAAATCTCCATGCTAATAGAAAGCGAGAATCTAATAATCTAATGACAATAATAATCTATTTAATGTAATAATTAAAATAATATTAATTCATTTATAATCGATAATCGATAATGTATAATGTATAATTTATAATTTATAATTTGTAATTTATAATTTGTAATTTATAATTTATAATTTATAATTTATAATCTAATATTGATTTAATAAAAAAAAGCAATAATTTTGAACACTTCATTCGAATACCTTAAAAATATTTATTGAATTTGACATAAATCTCAAGCAATTTTATTCCAGTAATTTTTAATAATAAATAAAGTAAACACTTTTACACGTTCGCGGGCAGCGTCACATATTTGTAAAGCTCAACATTTTGTATCCTGTGTAAAAAGAATATTAAATTATTTTCACTTGTGTTTGTATCTAAAATTATAACGCATGGTGTACAATGTAGGAAGGTGTTCTCTGAATTTTATTTGCATTTTACAAAGACAATTTGCAAGAAAATATTGTAACTGTGGAGCTTGCTACTTAAGCAAACGCTGGTCGCGAACGTGTTAACACTAGATTTACGGAATCCGTCAATTTGACGTATATTGAAATTTTTAAAGATTATTTAGTAAGAGTTTAAGTCGATTTTGATTCGTGCTATTATGTGAATACGCATTGCAATACTCTGGTTTTATCTGGAATAATAGAATAAAGTATAGAATAAACGGTCGTGAATCTAAAAATTTGTCATCGATTCAACGTAATTAAAGCTTTTATAGATATATATCTAAAATACATTTTTCGTTTCCTAAAATAGAATAGTATCTAGCTGTTCAATAAATTTTCATGATCCGCTTAAAGCTTAATGCATTAAGAAATGAACCAGACACTTCGATCGATCGATAAGTCTCAGGTTGACGCTCGTTTGTTTCAGGTAGAGTGATATGTTAACCGAAGACAATGACCCAACGAAACCAGCAGGGGTTTTAGACAATGCTGGCAACGTGTCTTCGTCGACAGAGGCCTCGGTACAACACCCTCGAATTGCAAACAATGGTAAATAAAGCTCTTACCTGTTATAAATAGAGCATATCGTAATAAAAATTATATACATGTTGAAGTTTGAATAATTGTTCGAATTTAACTGCAATTAATGACCTATAATTATCGAATGATACGTGAACAATATTACAATAATGCCAATTCAAAATATGCCAATCATCTAAAAATGAAATCTAATCTCATTTTGTACGGTATTTTTGTAGTAAATAAGTAAATTTGCAGAAATAATAATATGCACGATAAATTGGAATATGAATTGTGGAAAGAGAAGCCGGGATAAGTTTCAAAAATACATATTTTTCACATAGCTTAATAAAACAAAAAATAATAATGATGCTTCGGAAAACAAGGGTAAATTTTATTCGCTGTTATTAAATTCGGATCGCGTAAATTGATATCGCGAGTAAACAATACCGCGTGAATAGTGTTATAATTTACTGCGCGTACATAATACCACTTAAATATTGTTATAATTTACCGCATAAATAGAGGGACGATGTATAATTACAAATTAAACATTTCAGAAATTTCATGTGTAATTAGCACTAGCAAAACACTGAAGACTTTGTTGAATTATTTGAGGTTGCCCACCGAAATTCGAAGATATAATTCAATATTTTCATTGTAACCCGCTGTATATGTGGATACAGTTGAAGCCGAAGAACACTTTTATTTGTCCACTAGAACAGCAGACAAAAACCATCCTGTTGCAGAATCTTTCACCAAACATTGCACAACTCTCATTTTTGTAAGATAGCTCCGTTGTAATGGGAATAATAACTGAAACCAGAGCTCCCCAATAAAACAGTTTAAATTCAGTGCTTTGAAAGGTTTCCACCTATATTTTCCGCTTCTCTCCATGAGTCTACTAAATTAAACGAGAATCTGCCGGCCGTTGTTTATCTCTTCCAGAAAACGCTCGATAGAATAACCCACCCCTGGTAAGAGTAAGCTTATACAATAAACAGACTTATTGTTTTAGATATTAATTGCGTTTCGACATTCTGGATGAAATTAGACACTTTCGTACTTTTCAAAAAATTCACTGAAATGATGCACGTATGGAGACGCTAATCACCTTCTGAATTATAATAACAAATTTATCTTTTATATGTTGGCTGCTATGGTGCTCACTGATGACCGAACCTTCCAAATTGCTTGAGAACAATTACAATAAATCGAATAAAAATATTTAGTAACATAAGCACGTAGGTGGATAACAGTGTAATATGAGTACTGTGATACCAAATCATTGATAATTATTTCTATTAATATATCATTATTGTTACTATTGGATTGTAACAATTTTGATTTACATTTTTATTGACTAATTTAAACGAATATGCATCATCTGCGTATGCATACCAACTAAAACTTGAGTAGCTTACTTCAACGATTGTCGATAAGTGTGAAATTATTTTTAAAAAATGTTTATTCTTTTGAAATAGCAAGAATAAGTAATTAAAAATAAATATTCTTTTTCTTCTAAATATTCTTATATTATATATTATATTTACACAAATTTGGAGAAACCAAACGTTATAATTGGTAACTTGTACTGTGTCCATTATATTTACTCAACCTCGTAGTAGTTTCAATCAGTATTTTAAAAATTCGAAATTTTAAAAAGAAACAAACGAATTCGACAGTAGTGAATGTTTGAAATCACACTGGGATTTTCGAAATATCAAGCATTTTCTGAAGAGAAAACTTTAAAACTACCTTTCACATAACAGACGATGACAACTATTAAGCTTTTGCACTGGAGGAGCGACTCTTAATCGCCACTTGATTTGATATAGTTGAATTATAAAATTGAATACTGAATATTATATTTTAATAACGCAATATTATATAAAATATTGAAATCGAATAATCTTGTTCCATAATTTATGTACAATTTCTTGTTATGTTGATTTGAAAAAATATCATCTGCACCTCGTAAGAAAATATTGAATACTCGTAGTGAAAAACTTTCGAATACAAAGGATTAATATCCTGATAACGCAAAGAACGGCATTACTCGTGGAATGACAGTTTTGTTAGGACTGTTGAAAAATGGTACTTAGAAACGTATAAATGTGAAACGTTTTGATCATACTGGCAGAGACAGAGGTCAAGAACGAGGTACAGGACTGCCCTGAGAATGACAGCATCCCCCCCAGTGGAGAATTGTATATCGATGAGAATGCGGAGGAAAAGGAGCAAGAGTATCCGGATTCCATGGAGAAGGCGGACTACAGTTCATTGTACGGAGCCAATCAATATTATAACAGGTACTTATATGTATGTGGTCCCTCATCCCTCGAGACAGATTCCATTCTTCTTTTAAAACATTTTTTTCCACACTTAAAATATTAGATTTACCAAAAAGTCTTGTTTTACTTTTCAATATGGCGTATATATTATAATGCACCAGTAAATATTGAAAATAGGCAAACTGGCAATAGAAAGTTTTCGAATAAAATACAAAATGCATTGTTCAATAAAGTTTAAGTTAACGTATTGAAATATTTGTTTAAATTTTATTTGAAAATACGACGAGACCTTTCGGCCATCTTAATACATACGGGACGAGACAAATGACCAATTTATGATTTTATACAATTATTCAAATTATAACAGTGCTTTTATGACTAGTTATTAAATAAATCAATTAGTAGTAAGCAACTTATTCACAATTACGCCAACAGGAAAGGGAGACATTTCAATAAAGGTACCTTTGTAATAGTAACAAGAAATTTTTGAACAAGTTACTTTGACTTTTCAACAGCGTTAGTGTTTTAGCGTTAAAGAATTATTTTATTGTTATTCGACACCACAATCTAATGTACTAATTCATAAAATTCGGAAAACTATCTTTATTCATTTCATTTTATACTCTGTTTATTAAACCCAGAAATATCCGGATTTAAAAGATATTGAAACCTCATAGATCCTAGATCAATTTTAATTCGTGACCCCTACATTTCAAGTAGTTGTTTCATCAAACAGCAAGAAAAGAAGTGGCAAGTTATTTTATTTGTTAGATATAAGTTTTCCCACGTCAAGCTTTTTTCGAAAAACAGAGTATAGTTATATAAACATAACCTTTTGTTTCTGTATTACTTAAGTGTTTTGTTTCTGTTGATAGCTTGTATAATTCGCCTCCCTATGGATCAGCGACGACCGGAAAGAACACCGCGGCTTTACAAAGCTCTTATTTGACCTCCTACACCACGCCAAGCTCTATGACTCAATACTCTTCTTACGCCACGTACAACAGTGGCACGGCGAATTTTTCAAACGTAGCCCAAAATATATCGTCGTCTTCTCAGGTATTTATAAATCGTTACATTTGTTGTTATTATTATTATCATAGCTTAACCGCAATTTCTGGCAATGAATAATCTCAGACAAATATTGGGTCAAAATGACCCATGGATAGAATTCCTATTCTACGTAGTTCATCGTTATTAAATATCGTACAGGAATCTTTAAGTATACTTTTAACAGCATATGTTACTTTTCTATAGAATTTCTTATACCTTATTGCTAAAAAATATTTCATCGGATGTAATATTGAAACTCCGAAGAGAAAATGAAGGTAAAAGGTAATGCAAATTACTGATTTATAATTTATGTTATTTTAAAGTTTAAGCATTTCGTTTGTAGTTTTTTCCAATGAAATGGTGAACATTGCTCGGCAAACAAATGATTAAATGCTTTTTAACGGTAGTGTCCTTACGTTAATTTGAAGATAATTGCTTAACATTTGTTTGAATAATCAATATTTATACTATTATATTAATTAATGTGTTTTGATTTTTATAGAAAAATTAAAGAATTAAATTAATGGAGTATAATTTACCATCGCCATCATAGTTACCATTTTACATAATCTTCCTTTTTCAGAAGTTGGATTACAGCGCCTATAGCAGCAGTTTGTATGGCAATGACAGGGTACCACTACAGTATTCCGGATATTACCCCATGCACGGTTATCACACGACACCCGCTTCATTTAACATCGGAAATCTGAATTTTGCAGGTAATGCTTTTATTAGTCTATTTGTATTTTTCATCTATTTGTGAATTTTTATCATATTTTTATGATAAAATCCATATTAATACATATGATTATACATTCGAAACTATAGCAAAATATTATAAATAATGAAGTATTCGGTTTTTCTAACTCACCCTATTTTTATAATTTTTTTGTTTAATTACACTTTTTAATGTAAATTTTGATCGCAATATTCACTAACAATAAGTGATTCTTATTGAGCTTTGCATCTTAAATATGAAGCCAAAAACGAAATTCATCCGTTATCTTAAGTTTTTGAGAATATAACGTTTAATTTGATAAAAAAAGGCAAATTTTCAACTCTAAAAATTATTTATGCGTCAACTATAAAAACTATATCAGATATGCTTGCGAAAAGTGGTTTTATACATTTTTACGAATAAAATGATGAAGATTCATAATACTCGCCGAGAGGAATAAAAAATGTTCAATTAACGTAGATTTTAACGATCCTTTCGAAAAATTAATTTTTATTATTCAAAGAAAGAAAACGTTATATTCATTTGAGAAAATAATATATTTCAACAAGAATGATGTTATCGCCTGCGACGCTTAATGCTAACGTTACTCTCAATAAATATTTATAATAAACTGTAAAGTATTCACGAGAAATGCTGCTCGCTTTAAAAATTATTCAAACCTGTCTAAATGTTTACAATGCCATGGTAATATATATTATTTTACTCGGAAAATAGTACCAACTTCTAAAAACAGTGATTCCACAGACTTCTTAGCTGACACATGTGCAATTTATAACGTTAAACATTGATTCTTTCAAAATTAAAGTGATTAACAAGTGAGAGTGACGAAAGAAAAAATTAAACTAATTTTCGTATTTGTACTAGACGCATGAAAATTTACAACAAACAAAAGTTAAATATTAGAAAACATAAAAGAATGTTTAATTATCATGATTTTAAAAATGTTGTACGAATTATCTTCTCGATAACTGCGATTTAATTACGATTTTAGTTTGTCTGATTATGATTTCCTTCTCTGCAAAAAGATTCGACCAAGTCTGCACTCACGTTAGACGCAACCACTCACGATGCCAGCGATCTTACCGCACGAGAAACCACAAACATCGAAGGTAACACGATTCGTACGTGTGACTTTACATCTCCACAATTTTTTCATTGAATTGTTATTTATCTTAAACATACGACCATTCGCGGTGTTTCATAATGAAATTTTGATAAATAAAATACCGATCCACATCTTAGCAATCTAAATAAAGTAAAAATAAAATTAAATATTTCAATTTTGAATATACAATTGAGATATTTTTGGCAAAGAATCGTGATATTTGGCAAAGTAAATACACTTTTAGTTTAACTACCTACGACTACTCACATGTAACAAAGTATATCAGAATACACCGAAGCAAAATAGAAGTTTTTAAAAATAATACTTAAATATTCTCAATATTCTTAAAATAAACTACTATTCTAAGTAGTTTCTGCAACAAATAACGTTTTACTTTCAATGTTATACGATGTAAAATACAATAGCTTATTTACCATTTACTAGTTAAAATAGTATTTTACTCAGGCCATCCCTAGAAAGTTTTATTAAGATGAATCTACACAAATGGAAAACAGTATATTCATGCAAATAGAACAGAAGAAAGTTCAAATCAAAATAGAAACTATTCAATTAAAAAATTAATGAAAACTTATATAAAACTACCCGAAAATGATTGAAAACCGTAACACGGTTGAAAGAAAATCTAACAAAATATTACTGATATATTTTATCATGCGTTTCTGTAAACTGAACGTAGAATACACTTCTATAAAATACAATTTTTAAAATTTAAATTTCAAAGCCTATTTATCATTTACCAGTTAAAACGGTATTTTACCCGGCACTAGCTTCGAACGAACAAATTTCAGGGGCGACGGCGAAACCTTGCAGGCGCGGAAGACGGCAAAGCGGAAGTGGAAACAGTATAGGTTCTGCGGACACGACGGAAGCCGGTCCTCATCGGATATTCATCTGGGACCTTGACGAAACCATAGTTGTGTTTCACTCGTTGCTCAATGGACAATTTGCACGAAAGCACCGTAAGGATCCCACCCTTTTGGCCCAAGTGGCGTACAGGATGGAGGAAATGATATTTAACTTGGCCGATACTCATTTCTTTTTCAATGACGTGGAGGTAAATGGTCGAATATTTTAAATATGTTTAACCCTCCGCCGACAATATGGTTTCTCAACAGCGCGGCTGGCAACATGAACCTTTTATGATCAGTCTTGGTTTTTCATTGTTGCGAGTTCTGTGAAAGTTTGAACAAATTTTCAAGGTATTAATTATAATCTCTAATTTTAGTTAAATTTTAATTTAGTTAAATTTTCACATGATTTCGCAATCAAAATTGAAAATCGTGATGAAATTATGAAGAGATGAGATTTTTGATAGTACTTCAATGGTTCGTATTGCCGACGGAGGGATAAGAATTGTTTTAAAGCTGTGTAGTTCACACGCCAATTATCCATTCAATTTCAATTATCATAACACGCACGCTTTCTACGGTTCCGTAAATTTACTAGCCTAGAATATCTTACTAGTCAGTACTGTGATGTCTAATGTTTAAATTAAGTCTAATTTTTTCCCATATCTGTAAAGTGTAAATGATAACCGTATGGTACTTTATTTAATAGATATACGAACATTCACGAAGATTAAGTAAAATAAATACATATTATAAATATAAATTTTTCTCTTAATTCTGACTAGACGAATACATTAACGCAATATACATTTAAAAAATTACAAAATCTAAAACAAAAATATTTAATTCAAATAAAATTTATAATATACTGTACTGTCATACTAAATCTGAACTGTTTGAGTGCCAAGCGGCGAGATAATGCTTTCCCGTTACACCGCTGAAAAGTGCAAGCCTAACGGTTCGTAGAATCAAATTGAGTTTACTTATTTTTTCCTTTTAATCATTTATTTTTATTTCTTTTATTACCTCCTTAGAAATAGAAAAATTGAGCGATCACACAGTTTAGATTTTTTTATATGTAAAAATAAAAAAATATAATTCAGTTTCTGAGCTTAAACGAAAGAAGCGCGATCACGCCGTCTAGCACTTTTCTACTAAATTATTGCAAAGATCTTTGGCACTCAAACGTTTAAGTACCCGAGCCGCAAATAATTGCAGAAATTACTGCTATAGCTTGTCCTTGCGTATCCCTGAAAATTTAGTTCGAAACAGAAATAAAGAAAAATGTATTTTACAGGATTGTGACCAAGTTCATATTGATGATGTATCGTCGGACGATAACGGGCAGGACCTGTCTTCTTATAACTTCGCTACTGATGGTTTTCGATGCGCATCCGCTAACAATGGTATATGTTTGGCTTCCGGCGTTAGAGGTGGTGTCGATTGGATGCGAAAACTAGCTTTCCGATATCGTAAAATAAAAGAAATCTACAGCAATTACCGGAATAACGTCGGTGGCCTATTAGGCGCAGCGAAACAGGAGCAGTGGTTGCAATTACGATCGGAGATAGAAGTGCTTACTGACAACTGGCTGACATCGGCCGTAAAATGTTTAAGTCTCATCAATAAGAGAAGTCACTGCATTAACGTCTTAGTCACCACCACGCAACTAGTTCCAGCCCTATCGAAAGTTCTACTTTTTGGAATCGGTGGAATATTTCCGATTGAAAATATTTATTCTGCCTCGAAAATCGGTAAGTTCCATGGAAACTAATGTTATATAGATAGTGTCATATGCAGTCAGCAACGAAAGTATTTGAACAGCATGGTAAGAAATAAGTTATCATTAAATAAATTGCACACCGTATATTCCTATTCATTGAAACAAGTTGCATTCATAGTATACAGGGTGTGTCACGCAACGTGACGATTCTAATTAACTCATAAAATATGTACTGTATGAAAAAATATTTCAGACAAAAATTGCACAGTTACGAAGAGGGTATTCAATAGTAATATGGGTTTTATGCTGTTTTACTGTTTTATCGAGATATGCAGGTCACGTTCATTTTTTTTAAATGGAATGCCTATATTTTTATACTATGTAGGATCTAAAACAAATAATTACCGAGGTATTCACAAAATAAGTATCCTGCATTACAAGGTATGCTCATTCAATGGGACTGTTATATTTGGAGGACAACTTTGTTTACGACGACAGGTAATATTGTTAAGTACGACACGAGGCATTGGACGTCGTCGATATGAAATATCAGCTAAGTTTAGTAATGATAAAAGTCATACAGAGAAGAGTACCACATTAAAGTTATTTAGAAACGTCACGTTGCGTGACATAACCTGTATACACGCAACAAAATTGAACAAATTATGGAACATTTATTGTGTCTAAGCATGCATAACGTTCAAATACTTTTGTTGCTGACTGTAGGTAAATATTACGCGTTCATAGAAAGAAGGCATCTCAAAGGCATACGGATCGAAGTGGTCAGAATAGAAGGAGACATGCCTCTTTTCACGTGTATTTTCGACACTAGTACGCTATTCGTCAATACAATTACACACCCAATACATTCGAGTACTCGCACACCCTTAATGTTTACCGTAAGGCCCTTATATGTAAGTTAGAGTAGGGGTGTAGAACTGGAAGCTCACGGGCTTTGTAGGGCGGGGGTGTCAACTGACTCCTCTCAAGCTAGTGACTCTGATCAGTGGTTCCCCTTTCACCTCTACTCTAGGAGCTGCCCGAGCATATGTATGCGAGCAGATCTATGCAGTGTTCAAATAGAAACAAGAGAAAGTTTTATGTCGAGAGTAACTATTTGTGAAAGACAGGACCTTAAAGAGCTCACAAGCTCCCAGTTCAGCATCTCTGATCTAGAGTCTAGAGTTCCAACGAATGTAATATTTGAATAGAAACTCACGCAACATTCGGTGCACCACATTGAACCCTTTAATATGCATTTTTAGGGAAAGAAAGCTGCTTTGGAAGAGTGATTGCAAGATTCGGCCGAAGTTGCACGTATGTGGTAATAGGGGATGAATCTGACGAAGAAACGGCAGCGCGTGCGCACAACTTTCCATTCTGGAGAATAAACAGCCACTCAGACACACAATCTCTTTATATCGCCTTAGAAATGGGATTCCTATAACCAGAATAATTCAGAAAAAAATATCCAATCGAAAGACACTTTAGTTATACAGAGTACATCTATTAGAATATTCTTTATGTTGTTGATGAAAGAGTGTAAGTAGGATGCTTTTATCGAACATTTTAATATTTCTACTATTTATCGATTATAATACTTGAATCGAGGATCAGTCATTCCTCTAAAATTACCGTATATGGTTACCAGGTAAGGCTATTGGTCGATCATTAAATTTGACCGATCAGAGCAGGGTCCACAAGTGTTATATAATCCAAAAAAAGAAAATCGAAAGAACGTGTTTGAGAATTAAAGATTTATACATAGTACGAATATCCCTTATCGATTCATGCACGTTTTCGATTATATGTTCGACCTAAACATTGATTCGTTCAAAACTATACGTATCTTTTATGTACTTAAACGCATTTTCTGCTTCCCAAAAATATAGAGAAATACAGAATTGGTCAGGAAAAATTATTTACAATTTACAAGCGAAATAATATTACACACATTTGCATTAGCTGTAATATTTGAACAGACCTATATATTTCTGAATTTTTTAAAAGAATTTGATATAAATATTGTGTACAGTTTGGTCCAATTATTTCATTACAATGTAATCCCAGTAAACATAATGAAATATAGTAAAAAAGGTACTTTCTGATCGGTAATTGGTAAAAGTAGTAGTTACATTTTTTCATTAGTTCTAATACACAAAGTTTTGACTGAAATATTGTGAATTTTTAACATTTATTTGTTTGTATCGTATATTAATAAGAATATTTAGCTACATATATTTTTTGAATCATTCATATCATAGTGGTTGGAAAATATCTCTGAAATTTCAACTGCTTTGAATTATATTAACAGAAGTAGTGAGTTAAAATAGGATGTGAGTGTCATTCAAATTTAAAATTCTATAAGAGCACTAGGGGTGCATAAATAATATTTTCAAAGTGTATGAGAGGAGGTTGTGTAATTAAAATTTTAATTGATAAAATGAAGAGATAAGAATAGTAAATGATAACCAAAGTTAACGTTGAATAACTGTAAAATCAATTTTATATAAGTTTTTTTAAATGTATCGTATATTCAGTTAGAAAATATTTGTGGAAAACAATCAAGTAAAATATATTCAAACTTTGTACATGTTATATATTAGAACAAAAGAATTCGTTCTCTTTTTCTTAGAATATGAAACTGTCTTTTGGTAGTTTACAGTGTTTTACATTTCTATATTTATTTATGTATTCATTTTATATTCACATTTCTTACTTTTTTATGCTTTCAAAATTATAGCACTGTAGCGCAGGTATATAATATCTGAGAATTATTGGTTAAATAAATTATAAGAACTACTGGAAAATCTTAAAAGCACAAAATCTGCACAAGTCTTTATATAATTATTATTAAAGATTACATACTGACTGTATAAATACAATTTTAACTATACAACAATACATTTTTAAACTATTTTGACTATTATTCAGAGATTTAGGCGAGTGAAATTACAGAAAAGGTCAAATTATGTTGTATAATAGAATTAAAATATTCAAATTAATTTTGAAAATATATATATTGATAATTAACATTTAATTTTCATATATATTTCACTTTTTCTTATATTTCATTCTTGTAGAAAATTTACTTTTCAAATATAAATATATATATCTTAAATTAATATTAAATCACAAAGGTCAGATGTGATATAATAAGTATTAAACTAGATAAAAACATTTTAAACAAAAGTTTGAATCATTATTGCAAGAACTGTAATTTTTTGTTTCAATTTAAGCACTTTTACTTGGGTTTATAAGCATTCCGTTGTTTATATATTAAATTTTACATTAAACGCACAGCAATGTGACTTTTATTTCAATGTGTGTATAATTTTAGTACAATCTAAGGAATTGTATTACGTAAACTGTGCCTATTGAAATTATATATTTTTATATATAACTGTTATTTTAATTCCATCATCAGGCTTTTAAGTACAATGATCAATATGGTATTGTACAACAATATAACAATGCAATTCTATAATAATATTATGTGCATATATGTTTATATCTGTTTATGCTTTCCAAATCGAGTAAATGACAATACTTTGCGGTGTGTAATTCATTTCCGTAGTTTATCGAAATTCTGTTAAAAAAAGTTCGTTATACATGTACATCCTTTGTTATACAAATGTTTTTACTAAATAGTGTCAAAAATAACTTATAATATGCTTTCAAATGCTACAAATTTTCAATAAAAATCATTTTGTTTGTTTACATGATACTGATTTTTTTATATTTTTTAAATTAAGTCTTATTTGATCAGCTTTACTCTAATTATACTTTAATTATACTTTAGTCTTCATATTATTTAAACAATTATTTTATTTGTAACTTTTCTTTGTTTACATTTTATTTTTGTATACAACCGTAAGTACTATATAAAACATAATTCTTTTTTACATATATCACTTCAACCTGTCAAAAGCCTCTTCTTGTTCATGTAGATATTATACAACATCAAATTAGAAAATTTCATTTATTTTTTTTACATAGTAACATATGTTGCAGCTGTCATTACTCCGCAATTATTATTTTCCTGAGACATAAGAATGTAGCCATCATTTCCCCAATAATTAGACCACGAATTCTTAATTAACCAATAATCTTTTCCATTTAGTTTGCCATAACCGACAGCCAAGACAGCATGGTCTAATGACTCCAGTGTATTGCCTATATAAAATACATGTATTGTTTGTACAATCGAAACCTATTTTTAATTTTTTTTAACATTAGAAGAAAATTGTAGTCACATATACATACCACAAGTTGAATCATAGTATACACCATGAGAATAGAATGCAAAAGTTTTATGAGAAGCGTCGATTGCTACTGAGATAGGACCATGTTTTGCAATAGCAAGTTTCAATGCACGAGGATCGTTTTGTGTAACATTTACAAAACCATTGATTTTGGCTGTCATTGTAACATTATTTATGTGACAATAACCATCCTAAGAAAGAAAATATTAAATTGTACTAATTTCTTATCTGTATCTTTTATTTATCTCGCAAGAGAGATCATAAAATTGATATGCATAAATTTTAATTGAATTTTACACAGAGAAAAAAATACAAAATAAAATTAACATATAGCTTCTTATGGTTATATATTAATTTTATCCAGTTGCATTGAATTATTTAGTATGAAAAAAAATACTGATTAAAATCTGTGCATATCAATTGTGTAAGATCCCTTGTTAATCATACTTTAAAAGTGTGATAATGTTCTAATTATCAGTTTTAATTTGTATAACTATACTTGTAACATGTCATTTATTTACCTGTCCAAGATAACCACCATAATCCTCTTCAGTTGGCAAACCCCCATGTTTCATAATCCATTGATACGATCTAAAATCTTCACCACCGTCACAACCATTGTTTCCAAAACCCCATGAACAATCAATAAGAGCCTATAATTTTACAATAATAGAATAAAATACAAAAAATAAAATTAAAGCATGATTAAAAAATAATTTTATTTTACAAGTGGATTTCACATGTTAAAACTAAGAACAATATTCTAATAAACATAAAGCAAGAAGAGCACAAAATCATGCATCTAACTTTATTCACTCATCTACTGTCTTAAATTAGTAATTAACTTTTATGAATAAAAATCATATATAACGGTGATGTATAATAAATAATTAATTTTTTGTATCGTTTTTTTTTAATTAAGATACAAAGATTGCTTTTAATTTCTTTAATTTTTTGGTGACTCATGATAAGCGACATAAATTTTAAATAACCCTATCCAAAATTACTAATTAGTGTTATTTACTTTGTAATTTAAAATAGTAGAATTTGAAAAACAAAAAGTTTGTAGACTCATATTTATTACAATATAATAATTATCCATAGGCTGAGTTTTCCTACCTGTTGAGACAGACGTACTAATTTACCGTACTTCATATAATATGCACCTTCAACGGCACCAGTTGTACCAAAACTCCAGCAGGAACCGCAAACAGATTGATCTACACAATGCAAAGAATTTCTCGCTTACTGGACATCACAATATCATTTTTACTTCATTAAAAAAATAAATTACAAACCCTTAACTGGAGTAACAGCACCATACAGTCTCCAATCTATAGAATCTGGAATATCTTCTTGTTCTCTTTCAACATTGTATGGGAAAGGCTGCCCTCCGTTATAGCCTTTAGTATACTGTTTACCGCGTAAAGCCTTCAATTCTAAATCAGTACGGTCTACCAAATAATTAATATCTAATTGGTAACCTTTATTTGCACGGTTCAATGAATGAATATATCTGTAAATTTTCGTGCATAACATTAATTTTAACACATTCGTGACCACAGGTCATATATGTGTGAAACAGCAATTTGTTTAGGGAGCCCAGCACCACATATGCGTGACAATGTTGATTATCATTGCAACAATCATATTTGTATTTGGCATATGGTATACACTACTGTCACTTTGGCTATATTAAAATATCACACATACATGACATTTATGTAAAATGCTTTGTTTGGTTTATTTACTACGTTTTAAATGTGTAAAAATCATATGAATAACATATTATATGAAACAATTGCAAAAAAGGCACAGTCCACAGTAAAGGTAAATATTTAAAATTCAATTAAACATGTACCTTAAATTTTGTCTGAATACTTCTTTACGCGTAGTATGTTCAACCTGATTTGCATATTCCTTCTTATGGACTTTTTTAAAATCTTCAAAAGCTTCATTTACATGAGCATCATGATTGTGAACAAATTCGCGCATAGGATTGAATGTATATATATGCTTATCTCCAGGTCCAGGAAAACTAACACATGTTAAATCTATACAAATATATTTTCTATAATTAATATATGAATAGAGAAAATTTATATTGATATTAAAAAGATTCTACTTACTTCCTGTAATTTCAAATACTTCAGAACTAGGCTTCTCAGAAGTATACCAATCATAATCCAGATAATAATGATCATAATGAGACCCCAAGAGACTATTAAATCCTCTCATTTCATATTTTACAGGAATTGGTTCTTTTAGCCCTGGTATACGTGGTGATTTCTATAATTAATTATAACATAAAAATATACATCGTTTATAAAGTAATAATATATATCTGTTTAAGTATTCTACATAAGAAGTTGCATGTTACAGTGATTACCTTATATCGTATCCAAAGTGTGTACTTGTTCTTTTTCTCTCCAATTTCTTGCACCAGCCTCCACTTTTCACATTCTACTCCATTCACCATCTCTGACCCAATACACTAAACAAAAATCAAAAAGAATTTATAAAAGGATTCAATTATGTGTACATAAACACAAAAGGAAAACATTTCTTCACCTCCATTCCGGTTGTATCAGGAATAATAGTTTGAGGTTGAATTTTAACTTCCATAGTGCCATTTATTTCAAGACACGTTTCCTCATTCATAGCTGTTTCTGTAGTAATCGGTGCAATTTTGATACTTTGTCCATATGATCCTTTACGTGATAATTGAAAAGTCTTGACCATTCCTAATTAATTCATTTATAAATATTAACACTTTCGTAATGAGAAACATACTTCTGCATCATTTCGAATTCTTTAATTGAATTTTATTAAAATTTTATTTAAAAAAAGGAATTTTTTCTACACATATTTATAATATTTAATTCTTTAAAACTTTGAACAACAAATAACTATAAGTATCATACTGAGATATAATATTTCTTATATTCGCATATCCTTGTTATACACAACTACAGACTTTTGGAAATTATATGCTGCATTCAGCTAAACATTTTATCCAGCTATCATCTGTTCAAAAGTATTAATAAACATTTAAAGAAAGATATGAAATAATTTATAATACCTCCATAATAATCAATTCTACTAGATCCACTTGGGCCATCATACCATGCATAAAATGGTTCATTAATTTCAGCGTATGGAATATACAAAGTTCCTTTCACTGTATAAGTATTACTAAATGTTGGAGATTTTTCAGCTCCAATAAAAGAAATACCTAAAATATCATATTTTTATTTGAGTATCGTTTAGTCACTATGATCATCAAAAATAAATCTTACCTAAAATGAATACAATGAAGGTACTTGAACAAAGATACATCTTCATACTGCTGTAACAGAAACAATGAAATCATTATCCATTAGCACAGATATTTATAGTTAGTATGTTTGATAACATTACGACCTAAGTCAGGTTCCTTATTATCAATTAATAAATAATGGATAGTAAGTATAGCAGTACAATTTTGATAAGGCACATTCTATACAAATAATTTATGACATATTAAAAATTAGATTAGAATTCCTGTATAGAAATGTAAAGGAAATTCAACAAAAGAAAAATTTATTAATGAAGGAAAAGCAAAAATATTTATCCACTTTAAAATTTAATATATGTCTGAACATACAGGAACTATTTAAAGTTTGGAGAATTAAATTCTTCTAAAGAATATTTAGTCATAAGAATTCGATTAACAAAATGAAACTTAAATAAAGAGAAAATTTAATTACATTGTACTTATCCTAAGAAAACTGTACACAATTCTGTTAAATGTTCAAAACCACCGAAATACTCAGCAGTACAAGGATATTTCTAACTATGAAACGTTTTGTTTTTAAACAACTTTTTCATAATATTATGGTCACCCTAAAGGCGTCCGTTATATATACAAAAACACGAAACAAGGAGATCACAGCGAATGTAAATGCGATCCAACTAACGTATATATACAATCATGAACTGATAAGAATGTTTCACCAAGTGAGCTATACAGACTTAGATCTAATGTTTTCCATCTTGTCCAGGTTGTATATATTTCTATGAAAACGTAGTAATTACTAAATTCCCAAGGAATGTAATTTAATTTTTAGCGCTTTATTTAAACTGCACTTTCTTAAATCTATTACAATCATTTTATTCAATATACCTTCATATGATCATTTCTATAGTCATTTACATTTAGTTATTATTACTTAAAATTAACATTATTATTTGTAAAATTTTATGGCGCTAGTAACAATTGCTGTTGATCTTGTTAGTTACAATAAGTAATTATCGTATATGTCTAGAATTTGTTAAACTTGACATTAAAAGTCATTTTATAATGACGAAATAAAAATGTAAAAAAATAATATATCTTTTGTAACATTTACTTTCATTAATACAACAAAAAGATAAAATATTTTGAAACAAAAACAGAGTCCAATATTTTAAATTTCAAATTATGTATTTGTAAAGTGAGTCATTCTATACACGATTAAATCAGTTCGTACGTTATCTATCGTAAATTGCAAATTTCCCATCTCGAGTTGATAAAAAAAATTAAAATTGATTTTGAAATTGTGATAGCTGTAAGAGATAAAAAGAATTCCGAAAAAATCGGTTACTTCAAAATTATATAACTTTTAAATTCCTTTCAGAAAAAAATAAAATTTATATTTTCATGCAATTTTGTTTTACATTACAAATGTTTGGTATTGCATTATTGTAAAAAAGAGCTTAATACATAAAAGTAATCTTATATTTTTTACTGTGTCTAAATTATCTGCAACCAGTGAATCAAACCGGTTGTTAGAAGATTACTTCGCTATTTGAGATACTATAATACTACAATATAAGGTACACTGCAATAAACTTCAGGCATATTTTCCCACAAAGAAGTCCCGTAAAAAATAATGGGTCTCCCCTCAAATTTAAAACAATTTACCATGCAAAAGAGATTCTTTTTCCCATTTAAAAGTTTAAAAATATTGAATATACGCAATAAATCATTCTTTTTTACCACTAATGAATTTCTTTATTAATTTCAATAAACATTATATTTATTAATAAGCGGCCATCTAAAGAAATGTTTATAATAAAAAAGACTATAATATTCTACAAGAATGGAGGAATCCAATATCCATATTATTTATTAAAAGATAGTAGAAAATCTTATCAATCGTCGATGATATTTAATGTCTGTGATTAATTTTTAAAAGTATAAAGATCACACTTTCCTGTTCAAGATTAAACGATACATACTAAGATGGTAATCTTTTATTTTATGGGGCAGTATAAAGTGATTTCTGAGTTCTTAGTTTTTTATTTTTATCTCATCTGATTTTATATTTTTCCTTGATTAAGTTTAATGTGCTTAAAGCAAAATTTTGATACTGTTATTCAACGTATAATAAAATCTCTATTAAATGACTATTATTGAAATGAAAAAAATTGTTTTCCTAAAAATTTATTATTTATTCTTAAGGATATCAAATAGATATACTCATATTACATTATACTTAGGGGTATCGAATTGGTGGTTCGCAAGCCACCGAGGTCCTTTTCCCTCTCGATTTGCTCGGCAAAGATTACCGTCTCTATGGTACCTACTTACTTTTAGCATACATGAACACCACTTTGAACAAGCTAATCACCAACAAATACACAAATGTAGGTATAAGTCACCTACTCGTGTTGAACACTACATGAACTACTTTTATTGCACTAACATAAAAATAATAATGAAAATGGTTTTGTTATTTCATCATTTCAAATGATTTTTATACATTTTTAAAAGGTATTAAAACATAAATGAATTTTTTTATTACTTGTTGAATATTATGTAACCTTGTAATCCTCTTCAATAAGGTAACCAGTATTGCTGTACAGTGTAGTGAGTGCTACAGTCATCAGACTGTAAAAGTTGATACATTTTTTTAGAATGAGACAGTTTTTGCTAAAATTAAACCTATTTTTGAAATGAAAGTATAAAAATTTGGAAAAGCTTTAATATTTAGAAGATTTTCTTCTTCTGCAGATAAAATGGTTTTTGTTACTTGCAAGAATATTATAACTTTAAAAAAAAATGAAAATTTTAAATATGAATATAAAAAATTATAAATGAATATCCAATTTTTATTTAAATTTTCGAGAAACTTGTCATTGAACAAAGAATTTTGAACATCTATTTACAAATAATGACACGGATTTACTTTAAATTATCTATATTCAGATTTTTGTATTTACCTAAAGTTATCCATCAGATTAAAAAAAGTTTATTCTTTGAAATGTATAAATGAAAACTATAAAATAAAAATAATTTTAAGAAAAATCTAATGAGATTTACGTTACGTTTATATAATGCAATTTGACATGGAATGGCTTGTATATGCTTATGTACAAAAAGTGTCAGTCAATTTCATTTGCTACATTTATTGGTCCTCAATACGGCAGCATTCCCACTATTCGCGTCTTCTCACCCGATATCATACTCAATATATTGAATATTGTAGTATGTGGTTCTTTTATTCACGTGTAGAAATTAGTATCCATATTGTCAAAGTAGTTGAATAGTGCTACTTGAAACATTTCTGCTTATTTACAATACTAACATTAAAATCTAAAAAATCTTGTTTTATTCGTTTTCGAATGTATTTCCAAAACAAGACTTATTTGTCAGCTGTTCAGCTTCTTTATATATCCTTTTTAACGTGCCTGGATCAACCAAAAATCGTTGCCACAGTAGATTTCTCTCTCGTTCGAAACCCATACTAGTTTTCTACAAGAACATAACGATATCATTACTTATTGTATCAGATATAATATTTTATATACAAATATCTGTATATTTACCATTTGCTCTTTCATTTGATTCCTTATTTTGGTTAAATCCGTTTGTATCCTTTGCAAATGATCAAAGACTTCTTTATAAGAAGTTTCAATTTCGTATGAAATTGGTTTAAAACTGTATGTTGGTCCTCTTTGAATTTCACTTGTATATATCACATTTATTTCTTTTTCCCTAAGCAATAAAAAAATGTATAATATTTACAATACCAAACGTATTATATTCCTATTTTTAAACTTATAATACTCACAACATTTCTAACTTATCAATTTTAGAATTTATATCTGTTTCCAATATGAATTGCTTTTTGTTCTTATTTTCGTTTATAAGTTCATTGTACTTATCTAAGGCAGAATTTAATTGATGTACATTGTCACTATTACACAACATAGAAACTAAAAGTTTGTTGAATAAGTTAAATGTATCTGGAGCAGATGATATAAGCATAGAATACTCTTCTTGTTGTTGTT